AACCCCCCCAAAAAAAGGCCAGGAAATTGGCCGGGTCAAAGGGAAAAAAAAAGCAACGGGGCAAGAAAAGGGGCAAGGAACCACATTCCCAGCAAGGGGTTTACCCCCAAAAAAAAAAAGGGGAACGCGGGGGGGAAAACGGGAAAAGGGGAGGGTTGGAAAGGCCATTTTTTTTTGGGGGGGGCCCACCGATTTTCAAAAAAAAAAAAAAAAAGGGGAAGGGTTCCCCTTTAAAAGGGGCCTTAAAATTTAAGGGAAAGGGGGGGGTTTTTTTCAAAAAAAACCCGGGGAATTTTTTTTTTTCCCCCCCAAAAAGGGGGGAAAAATTTCCTTCCTTCCGGAAAAAAGGTTGTTCCAGTAACCCCCATTTTTTTTTGGGGGGGGGAAAAGCCGTTTTTTGGGTTTTTTTTTTTAAAATTTTGGTAGCCCCCCCCCCCCCCCCCCCCCCCCCTCGTCCACGGCCCGTTCCCTTCTTCTTTTTCAGCGACAACGATGCAAGCGCGCCCTTGACGAACCCCGACGAACACCCCAATCGTGTCGTCGCTGGATGCAGGACCTACGCGCCCCCGGCCGTGCCGGTCATCGAGCCAATCAACGACGACTATCTCGCCAGCTTCGGGCGGTCCTACGCCGAAGCAAAGAGCCTCACTGCCCAGGACAAGAAGGAGAACACAGCTACGCAAGACGACGACGGCGACGACGGCGACGATGGCGATAGCCAAGCCGGCGACGAAAATGGTGGCGGCGGCGACAAGGAAGGCCCTTCCGACGACGAGAAGAACAGCACTGCCGAAAAGGATGCTGCGGGCCGTGAAGCGGCCAAGACTGAAGGTTCGGGCTCGCCGACGAAGAAGAACAGTCTCCGCGGCGGACGGAAGAAGCACGGCGTGTTCGTTGTGAATCTGCTGTACACCTTGTGCGACGAGGAGAAGCTGGAAAGTCTCTTCAGCGCGTTCGGGCGAGTTACTGCGGTCGTGCTGACCAGACCCCCCGAAGGACAAAAGTGAGAAGTGCGGAGCATGAGCGAATCAGTTTTCTTGCTACATTTTTCCCTTGTCCCCGCTCTCCCCGAGGTTGCGATGAGCAGGAGCACCGTCAGTGCCGTTTACGATTGGAGCCATTTTTTACCAACGTTTCGAGTGCTCTATTAAGCTTTTTTGCCATGTTCCCGGTTCTGTTGGCCACCTTTGTCGGGCATAGCGCTTTCTTCCGAACAAATCCCTCTGAAGGTCGCGGGAGTGAGTGAGGGCATCTGTGTCGTTTCTTATGTACACAAAGACATGACTCCTGCTGCCATTCACCGCGGTTGCTACTATTTGTGCTGGTGTTCCAGAACGCCAACAATGATTTACAGCTGCGGGTATCTACGCTCGTAGCAACACGTGTTTGATTTCCTAGGAGCTCCATATATTTTTGTTGCGCACACGTGTAATTATTGAGTCAGTTAGTATTCTGATGTCCTTTGTCCGACATGATGCCTGCGGCATCTGATCTCCTGGGGCCGTATGCTTCTTAGTCTCTCACATTTTGTGGTGCTTTCTCTGTATCTCATCGTCCGCCCTCTCCACCACCTCCCTTCCTCCCACAACCACGCCCGCAGGGTGTCCGGCATCGCTAGCGTGTACTTCGACACGGCGGAGGAGGCGCAGAAGGCACTAGCCGCGGACGGCATGGACATTCGTGGACGCTGTGTCGGCATACGAGAGGTGGGCTCGTTGTGTTTTCTTCGACACGGACGGAGTATGTCTTGCGACACACCGCAAGCGTCAGGGTGGTGAACACAAGCCGTCTTATCCCACCTACCCCCCAATAGAACGGAGTTTGTCTTACGACAAACCGCAAGCGTCAGGGTAGTGAACACAAGCTTTTTCATCCCAACCCCCAATGCACGCGCAGTATTGTCTCATTTCGTAACGGCAGCGCTGCCGGTGTACGGGAGGCCGGGATGCACCAGGACAACTGTTTTCAGAAAGGAAGGCCCGGGAAGCGTTGTTAGCTGTGTCGACAGCAGTTATTACTTGGGGCCACATCTGATTTTAGTTTTTCCGCTATTTCAAACGTGAATGTCACGACGGGGGCGGGTGGTTGAGTTCTTGCCTTTGGAAATTCACCGGCCAGGGGTCATGCCTTCGTCCACCCAGCCTCCGGCGTCATACTTCATTTATCGCTTCGGCTTGACTCCTCTCTTGCACATCCCTTCGATCTCCGACACGTTGAGTGCTCCGACCAACGCTGTGCAACCTGCATCTCATTTGACCTCTAAATTCCAGCACCGTAGATCTACATCATGGTGGGTTTCCGGCGTTTTTGTTTGCTGTTGGTGCCTTGTCGGCTGCTGCTGCCCTTCGTTGTCGACATGCCCGCAAGGCTTGTTTTGTGTTGGGGATCTATCACCTTATGGGTATCGCGCATGTCCTCAAGTTTCTACTATCCTGTTTTATCGTCTCACTGGCGGTGTAATTATTTTTTGCTAGGTGAGGCTGAGTGTCGACAAGAGGTACTTCGTCGAGCCTGAACAGGCGGCCAAGGCTACCAACAAAGCTAAGCCCCTGGAGGAAACGAGGTGCACCCTGTGTGGGGCGATTGGGCACGACGACGAGGTGCGCGCGTTCGCGTTGCTATTGATTGTTTTGTCGTTGCCGGCGTTGCTGTTGTTGCTGCCGCGACGGCGGTTTGTTGTTGTCGTCGTCGTCGTCTCGTTTACGACCGTTCCGATCTCTGTTCAGTGACGCTACCAGCCATTGCTATTTAATCCGATTGGCACGAACGCCTTCCTTGGTCAAAGGCAAAGTACCCGAAAAGGGTACACTTTGGGACGTATTTTTTGTACTTGATCCATGTAGATTGAGCCGATCCCAGGTCGAAGCACGCTGACGCGAGCATGGCACAGGTGACCTAAAAGCACTATAATAGCGTGCAATCATGTAGGAACGTTGGGACATGGTTTGTGTTTGAACATCAGTATCGTTTCCCGTGAAGCCTGTTCCGCCCGCTCCTCCACCGCTCTGTTTTATGGTCGCTATGTTTGCATGTGTAGGACATGGCGCGTGTCTGTGTTTCTTCCCTTTCTCTGGCGGGTGTCTGTGTTCCTACGTAGTTTTGACGACTACTGTTTCCGCCCAAGAACAATACCGCCCACACATACTTCTCCTGCCGCCCCCTACATACGCACGCGGCGAAAACATTTATCGCTCACGCTAATGCTGCTGCTGCTGCTGCTGCTGCTACCGCCGCCGCTGCCCTCTCCTTAGAACTGCCCGTTCAACGCGTGCTCTCGCTGCTGGGAGGAGGGGCACCTCGCGGACGCCTGTCCCTATGTTGATGTGATGGAGGAGGGACCCGAACCCTACTGCTCGGTGTGCGGCAAGGCTGGTCACTCGATCGATGTGGGTACATAGCGTCTGGGTTGGCGGACGCAATTTGAAGTGCGATTATAGCGTTGCTGTTGTTGGGTGTGCCGGGGGTGTGATGTTGGTAGTGATGTGGTTTTTGTTTGTCTCTGATCACCGCACCCTTGTTCTTCTAACCGCCACTTTGCATTTACTATCTTATCCTTGACACACAAGGACAAAGAGACCAGACGGTGTTGTTGTTGTTGTGGTTGTCTTCTGGTGGAAGACCGATGTGCTTTCAATGATCAGCCGGTCGCAAAGCTTGCAAAGAATCTCGCACCTACTCCGGATTCCGCCCCCTAACCCACAAATCCTTTCCGTGGGATGCATCGACCCTGCCGGCGGTAGGCTTGCGAGACGGCTTGCAAGGGCAAGTCGCAGCTCAAGTTCAGCTGCATCACCTGCAGAGACGATGGCCACACTCAGTGCGGAAAGGAGACAATCTTGGTGTTCGGGAACGAGAGAGGCCACGCCATGACGTGCTGCAACTGCGGCCTGGAACGCCACGACTGGCGTTCCTGCCCTCATCAGACGGAGGCTGAGATCCTTCGGGAGTGCGGCTACAGGTTCAACAGGTGCGTATCGTTTGTTGTTGTCCGGCGCTGCAGGGCCAGCGCACGACCGAGAAGCGCTCCCGAGAGAGAGACTCACGCATGGTGCTGCCACGGAGTGAGGCCTTTCGTGCACTTGCACTGCGTATCTTCGGAAGTCCTTTCCTTTGCCACATCCTCTCGCAAACGATTTATCTATTGAAAAATACCACGGATGTACTGCGTTGGCATTGGCGTTGGCATGTGCGACGTTCGTGTGTCAACAAGGGCCTCGCCTTATCCTAAGAGATGAGTGTTCATCCTGTTTTGGTCCAGATGATCGCCGGCGGTGCTAGTCGGCTGCTTGCTACCAACGGCGAAGAAGTTGTCCTTACGGTGTTGACGTTTCTTTGTCCCTCGCCAACATCTTGTTGTACCGAGCGCATTTTGGTGGGTGCTTGTGGTCACACCAAACAACTGGTTTGTATATACCCATATACCCATGGTAGGTGTCTCCGGGACCGCACAACTGGTGGCGAGGTACGCGCGATATGGCGTAGTTTCAGTTGTGATTGGGTCCTCATTTTTTGGAGGCATACTGTTTGCACTGCAAATGTACAGTATGCGTAAAATGAAATGCGGCGGTTCCTGCTGGTCATAGTACGGCATACGCATTGTGCTTGAGATTTTGTTGATGTACCGCCGTTATCGACCCGCTTTGTTTATCCACTCCAAAGCTCTGCGGGTGGGGGCAACCGACGGAAGTCGACGGGAGGGGGGGGCAAGACCTACATGGTGTGCTACAATTGCGGCAAGCAGGGGCACGGCAAATCGGAATGTCCGGTACCGAGGCAAACCCAGACCCCCGGTCGCTTCGGAACGTGAGTGTAGTGTTTGTTTACTTGTTGGGATGGGTGTTGGTGGCGGTGGTGCGGTTGTACCGGAGCTGGTGGTGCTCTGGCGGTGGTTGTTATAGTTGGTAGTGGTGCTGGTGCTCGTGTGGATGGTTTGCGAGTGCTCGTGGTGCTAGTGTTGGTTTGTGACCGTGGGGGAGTGCAAGGCTGGGTGAGTGATGGTGGCTTGGTTCTTTGCTGTCTTGTCTGGTCGAATCTGTGTCTCGTGCCTGTAGGGCTAAACTCAGGAAACACCCCATTTATAGGGTCGACCTTCCCTCCCGCTCCGAGTTTCACTCCCGCTCCCACCCCCACCCACTTACAGTACTTGTACTTATGTCCACTTACGGACGGCGGAAATCGAGCGGAAATCGAGCGGAAATGGACCTCCACGTCACCGCACGGCAGAACATCGAATAGCCTCGACAACAGTTTCGCTCCCACCCCCACATACTGTTAGACTCTACTATTTGTGGTATCGGCGCCAGTACTTTGTTATCACGCTCGCCGGCCGGGTTCTCGCCACTGGATCGTTGATGCTTGCTGGCCTTGGACCCCACCACAACAGCTATCCTTGGTCGATATATCCACACCAGGTGCTACCTCCGGAACCTTTCCCTGCCGACGTCAGCTGATTTCTCTTGGACCCCACCACAACAGCTATCCTTGGTCGATATATCCACACCAGGTGCTACCTCCGGAACCTTTCCCTGC